ATCCCACAGCTGGGTGCTGCTGAGGAGATGCAGGGCAGGTGGAGACAGCCTTCCCTCATGCAGCTGTGGTCTGGTGGGAGAGACAGGTCTTGGCCACACAAATGAGTATGTAATTGGGATGAGCATTAGCAAGAGAAGAGAATTGGTGGTAAGCAGTATTAAGTGTGTGGCAGCAGGATTCAGGAAGGTCTTCAGAAAGTGATTGGACCTGACATTTAAAGGTTGGGAAGGAATTCACCAGATGACAAGTAGAAGAGAATGTTCCAGGCAGAAGGGACAACATAGGGAAGAGTTTGGTACTACAAACTCCTCCAGCCCCCAAAGGCTAGTGATGGCAGCAGGGTAGAGAGCAGGGGAAAATGGCACAGATTAGGTTAGGAAAGAAACAAAGGCTGTGTCCTAAAGCAGCGGTCCCCAATTTTTTCGGCACCAGGGACAAATTTCTTGGAAGACAACTTTTCCACTGACGGGGCAGGAGTTGGGGGGAGGTGGAGAGGCAGAGCTCAGACGGTGGTGCGTGGCCCTGTTTTCCTAATAGGCCACTGACCAGTACCGTGCATTGGCCCAAGGGTTGGGGACCCAAGTCCTAAAGGGTCTTTTAGGTCTCATTAAAGATTTGGTAAAGATAGGAGGAAGAATGCTTTATTCTGCTAGATTTGACACTTGGGGAACCATTTGGTTTATGTAGTACAGACCTCTTCCTATAAGCTAGGAAATTTCATTTGTTTGTTTACCCTTACATTACTGTAAGGGTACATGTCTTGAAAGCACTCAGTATTTTAGTATTATCTTACGTGGGGCCTTGTCTTTTTTTCCCCTTGTTTTTCAGGGTATAATTGACTACATCTTCTATTCCAAACCTCAGCTGAACACGTTAGGCATCCTGGGACCTCTGGACCACCACTGGCTGATTGAGAATAACATCAGCGGCTGCCCACATCCACTCATCCCCTCTGACCACTTCTCACTTTTTGCACAACTGGAGCTCTTACTGCCTTTCCTGCCCCAAGTTAATGGCATTCACCTTCCTGGTAGGAGGTAGTTAAGTACCTTCAGAGGACAACCTTGATTTACTTGTAAACTCGTGAAAATCTGAATATAGGGGAGTGAGGTATGGCCACTAGGGATTTTTTTTTCCTAATGATGATTTGAATTTTCAATCTGATTATTCGATAAGGATACAGTATGAAAGCCAGGTGCTAGCAACAGACAAATTCTGAGCCCAATATGCTTTATATACTGTTAGACAGGGATTGGTGTGTTTGCACCTATCTTTAATTTGTTACAAGAAATTTTCCTGTTTCTTCAATATAATATTTTCATGCCTTGAAATAGGAAAATGTTTGAACAGCATATTCTCTTTGCACAGAGATCTGTAGCACTACTTTTTTGAGGCCAGTAGCAACATCCAGAGACCATTCTTCCATGCTTTACTCTCTCCTTTTTCAGACTTGTTTGTAAAATATAGAATTTGAATTTAGCCTTTATGATTGTATATGATCCACAGAAGACCTGATTTATGAAATTTTGTAATAAAAAAATCAGATTTGGAAATGATTGTATTGTAAACTAAGGCTAAATTTTTTTTACCTGTTCCATGTGTTATAAAGGCCAGCTTGTAAAAGAAGCTGCAACAGACTTTCTCTGCTCATGATTTGCACTGTTAGGGTTTTGTTAGCCCTTTTGTACTACTTTATTTTTAAATTGAGAACATTGTTCTTTAAATCTAAATCTGCTTAAACTTTAGAACATTTTCTTGGACCAGAGGCAACTTATTCATGAATTTCTGAATTTTTATGGAAACTATCTACCAGGACAGATAAGCTGAACAGTGAATGATCTGTAGGCATTTATGGCTTGAATGTAATGGTTGGTATATGTACATTCTGATATTTTTAAATCTTTAACTTTTTTAAGTTAAAAAATTACAGCTGCTTAGGTACAGCTTCTTAACTCCTTTTCGAGACACTTCCTGTCCTATCTCCACTGTGCCTGCCTAAATCTGTTCTCACGAAGCACTGCCTGTGCATGCAGAGAAAATCTGTGCATCCTCTTTTATATTTTTAAAATCCTATTTAACATTTGTGAGAATTTTATGAAAATGCTTTTGTATGAGCTGTGGCTTTTTTCCCGTTGTGAAGCATTGAGTATCCCATTTTGGAACATGTTCGCAGGGTGGGCCCCTGGATCTTTGCTCACCAAACCCAAGCACTGCTTCTTGGTGTCATTGCACAGTGCTGCTTGTCACCCAGGATACTACTATCATGTGAATTCCTTTTGTTATCCATGTATTCCTTAGTCTCCGTTTTTTTTTTTTTTTTAATCATTCCCTTTTTTAAGAAAAAGTAATTTTCCATTTATGAAGCAGTATAAATTAGATGCATTTTCAAAACGGGTCCCTAAGACAATTCTTCGTATCATTTTTAAAGTGACTAACTCATTTTAGTATGTCACCCAAGATAACAGTTATATCGTACCCTGTGTTTTGCCCATAGTGCCATTAGTAGTGTAGAGATGAAAGCCGGCTTTGACTTTGCAAAGTTAACTTGTATATGTTCTATTCTCATTGATTCATTCTTCTCTCGAAAATCAAATGAATTCAGAGGGAACTTGGTCTAACTGCTTTTGTTTCAGCTGCAGGCAGGGGGGCAAAAGGACACCATGTGAGCATTAAGGAAAAAAATAGTTATTAGCAATTTTTATACAGAGAACGAGTCATTTTGGATAATGACTTAAAATTTTATGAAAAAATGTTCAGCACTTAAATGTGCTTATTCTGTTTTTAAGAAAAAATAAAATTACATACTGTTTAAGTAAGTGATTCTTTTTTTTCCCCCTCTCCCGTTCAAGAAAATTCTCCAAAAGCTTTTATTCTTGAATCTTTGTCTTGGACCTGGTTTTTCCTTTGCGTTTTCTTTTCTTTTCTTTCTTTCTTTTTTTTTTAAGATTTTGTTGTGATGTTGTTGTGTTTTTTTATATTTTGCTTTTTGTTTAAGTTGTGCTGACACCAAACACATCCAATTTTGTAATCAGTACATTGGAAAGCTGGTATTGATGTAGAACCAGTGCATAACTTTTTATGGGGTTTTTTTGGTAAAGTGTGAATAAGAGTTGTGTTTACTCATTTTTCCTAAACACTATGTTGGTAATGTGCATCATGACAATTTCCAGTGAGGGTGAGCTGGAGCTGGTTGGACTGAGACTGAGGAAGCCGCTTCTCCTGTGATCTGCATTTATGTAATCACAAGTCCAGAGAGCTGTATGGAAGAGGGAGGGGCGGAGCACTTACTCATTTTGTATTTGTTAATCGAGGATGTAATCTTTTCATAGATGCTGAAACTAGAGTGCACTTGTTAGATGCTAAAGGTTTGAGCTTTACACAAAATGTTTTCATCTGTATTTGTTATTGTCTATGGTATATTTGAATTTTAGGGCAGCATATTAAGATACAATGCCTGTTATGTCTTGAAAATACTCGTTTTTGCCTCTTCCAGTCACACTGCATTCTGTGGGTCAGTTTGAACAGCTTCTCCACCTCATTTGAATAGCGATAAATTGAACCAAGGGTGTAGATTTTCAACTGTAACCTTCAAAAGAGAAAGAAATATTTGGGGTCTATAGAAAATAGTCATACCAAAATAGACTATGATACTTTTGTTAAGCAAGGTTTTGTGTTTTAAATATTTTCTGTGTCCTGAATAATTTCTAATAATCCACATTCCCTATAATGCAATAAAAACTAGTATATTTTCACAGTGTAGATTTTTTTCAAAAATGTTTAACAAATGTATTTAATGTATTGCCATAATGTAATTTCAGTGTTCTGCTGGATAAATCCATCTTAGGAATAGTTTACAGAAAATTTGGGGCGTGTTTTCTGTTTTAAAGATCAGAAATTTGGAGGCACTCAATTCCTTTTTGCAAATCTCTCAAAGTACAGTTTACTATATTGGTGGTAATTATTTATGCCCTGGAAATTTAAATAATGTTCATCAAAATTAATTTATGGCATAATTTATGCTAAAGTTGTAGAAATAAGTTGTTGATTGCAACTTTAATAGCCCTAGAAGATGGGCAAAGAACATCTCCAAGAAATGTGTTTTGGGTTTTTTATTTGATTTTGGTGACAACCAGGAAAACTTATTTGGGGTTTAGCACTTTGAAACCTAGGGACATTATTAAATTGGATGGAATGCACTTCTAATTGTCGAAATTAAAATTTCAAAGCTCTTCTAAGATTCAGGTTTTCTGTAACATTCAAGTTTCAGATTTACACTTTTATTACTAAAACTTAATACTAAACTTATGGAATTAGTTTCCATAGTGACTTTTGAGATTTTGAAGTCATGTCATGTAAGGACAAAAGCCAACCTACGTAAAACAATTACAGAAGTTTGTTCTTTTAATGAACTAATCAGAACATCCAGTAAAATGTTGCAGATAATTCAAAGAACAACTTTAGCAGGTGTTTCTCCCCCACTCATATACAGTGTTTTAAGATGTTCACTTTGCTCTTCTTTTTGGTTACGTAAATTTTGATAACTGATACATTGACATAGTGTCTAAAATAAAGTATCTAGTCTTTATTCACAGTACATTATGTTGTGTAATGCACTGGACTAACTCTTGTTTACCGTTCATGTAACAAAACCCAGCACTTATCTGCACTAAGCTCAAAGAATGTCACATTTGCCAGGCGGCTCTTTGATAAGGGTGATGGGAAACTGAATATATACCATGTGGACTGGTGGTAACAAGGGCTTTTACTGTTCTTTTCAGTGGAACCTTCTTGGTCAAATTGTAACTAGTTAGTAATATATTTATATACAGGGTCTCATTCTTTACCGATGTATTTTCCTACTCATAGCCAACCAATAAATTCAGTATCTGTTTCAAATATTTTAAAAGTGTAATTTGTATAGCTGTAGTATTGAGGTTTGAGAAAAAGCAAATGTTAATCAGCAGGCCACATATTTAAAATTCTGATTCATCTGGGACAGGGTTCTAACTCACCCTTCCAAAGGGAAGAGTGAACC